GCCGTCCAGGCGGGCGGCCAGCGGGCCCCCCGCGCCGCCGCGGGGGCACAGCCCCGGCTCCGCGCTGCCCGCCCCCGGGGAGCCGCGCTCCGGGCCTTCCTCGGGGCCGCCGTCGGGCTCGGGGCCGCGGGCCGCCTTCTTCACCTCCACGAAGGCGCTGCGCTTGGCCTCCCCTGTCTCCGGGCTGGGCGGCGCGAAGAGGCGGCCGCCCTCCTCCAGCCCGCAGTAGGAGCCGGCGGCGCGGTACTGCTGCTGCGGGGCGCAGCCCGGCTCCTCCTTGGGCGCCGCCGGCAGCCCCGGCCGCTCCGCCGGGAAGCGGCCCCGCGCCGCGCCGGGCCCGCGATCCTCCTCATCGGGGAACCGCCTCTTCGCCTTCCCGGCCGCCGCCTCGGGGCCGCCCTCGCCAGGCGTCGGCCTCCCCGGGGACCCGCCGCGCCCGCCGCGGGAATTCTCCAGCTCCCGCGCCAGGTTGTGGAAGTCCGTGGAGGGCTTGGTGGTGGCGGTGGGGCCGCCGTCGGGACCGGGAAAGGGGTGGTGCGGCGGCCCGCCGGGCTTCCCGAACTTGCCGGGCTCCTGCTCCTTGCCGGCGACGTCCTTGCCGCCGGCAGCCTCGGCGGCGGGGCCGGTGTCGGGGCCGTGCAGCCTCTTGGGGCAGCGGAACCGGAGATGTGCGGCGAAGGGCAGCTCGAACTGGAAGCGCTGGCTGCACTCGGGGCAGGCGAAGGGCGGCGAGCCTGCGGCGGGAGGGAACACCGTCAGCCGGGGCCGCTGACGTGGTATCCCCGGAGAGTTCGGGGAACAGGGGCGCGGCGTCCCCGAAGCCGACAACCGACCCCGAACCCCCCGGCGGCCGCGCAGGGCACTCACCGTTAGTGCGGGCAGGGGCCCGGGCCGGTCCGAGCAGCAGCAGCTCGGTGAGCTCCTTCCCGTACCACACCAGCAGCTCCTCGTCCTTAGCGATGCGGCGCAGAGAGCGGTAGAAGAGCTGCCCGCTCTTGATGTAGGCCTCCAGGTTCTGCTCCTCCCGTTCCCGGGCCGACTGCACCAGCCGCAGCCACATCAGCCCCTCGGACGAGCCGTTCGCCGCCGACGTGTCCACCTGAAACCCCATGTTAATCCACCGGACCGACAGACCGACCGACCGACCGACGGGACGGGGATGGGCAGCAGCAGGAGGGGCGGTGGCGCGGCTCTGCCCTCGGGGACAGCCTCCCGGCGGCGGGGGGTCCCCCGGCCGAGCTGCGTTCCGCGGCGGGGACGCTCTCGGGCACCGGCCGACGTGGCGAGCGGCTGAGCCCGGAGACGAGCGGCTCTTACCCGGAATATGTAGGGGACGGTGCGCTTATCGGTGGACTTGAGGGCGATAAAGGCGATGCTGTCGTAGAGGGACGTGTGGCTCAGAACGCAGGGGCCGAAAATGGCATTTTCCGGGATGTCGCAGGTGGTGTAAACGCTGGTGAAAATGTCAGTCAAGCACTGCTGGACCGTCTTGGCGTCCCCGTCCCATATTCCCCGCTGGACGCCGGCGTCCTCCATCCCTGCGGACAGAGAGAGGGACAGAGCAGGGCCGTTATCGCGGCAGGTCCCGCTCAGCGGTGCACCGGGATGCGCCGGAAAACAAATTAAAATTAACTTGAATGGTTAAATAAAAAAATCAAGAAAAAATCCCAAAAAATAAAATAAAATAAAAAAATTAGGTAGGCGAGCAGTTTCTCCGGTCTGAAATAAAAAAAAAAAATAAAGCGGGCGAGGAGCTGCGAGAGGAGGCAAAGTGCAGGGACGCTGCCGCGATGATATACTGTTTCAGCGGTCGCGGCGGAGCCGGCTCCGGGCAGCGACCCGGGAGTCCCACCAGCCGGGTCCTGTCCCGGGCGGGCGCCGGGCACCGAGCGGCGGCGGATCTGCAGTAACCCCCAGAGCCGGGCCGGGCTGCGTGCTGCGCCGGGGGAGCGGGTGGGTTCCAGTGGCTTGTCATTGTCGCCGATTGCGTGTCAGCTCACCTCCCGCTCCGCGCGACAAGGGGAACGTATGGCTGCTCATTACCATAATCCAGCACTTTCCCTCCGAGACTTTAATTAAAAGCAGCAAGCAGAGGTAATTATTTTTACCTCGACACGCTTATTTATGGTGCAGGGAGAGCCCCGGCTGCCGTGCGGTACGGAGGGAGGGATCCGGGCGGCGGGCAGCTGGTGGGGCGCGGACAGCGGGCAGGGAGCGGGGCCGGGGAGGGCGCATCGCGCCCGGCTGCGGTGCCCTCGCCCTTCCCGACCCGATTAGCGCACGGCTGCCTCTCCCCGCCCCATCTGGCATCGAAATCCGTCATTTGGGGCTGGCTCGGGAAAAGACTGGTGCTCCTCCCGGTGCGCCTGCTGACGGCCACCGCCGCTCGCACCGGACACGGCCCCGCCGAGCCGCCGCTCCCCTCGATTCGGGGTAAAACCGGATCCCCGCCACCCCGGGAACTTCGCCCCCTGGAGCGGCGGCGGGGGGTCCCGGGCCCTCCCCGAGAACGAGGGCCGCGGACAGGGGGCTCTGGCCGTCTCCCCGCCGCCCTCCCCGTTCCGCCGCTGCCCGGCGCATCCCTTCCCCGAAGGGATGATTTCGCCAAACGAAACCACCGGCACCGAGCGGCCCCCGCCGAACTTTCCCCCCGGCGCCGATGGGCCCCGTACGCATCCCCGCGGCGCCGCATCCCCCCGGTCCCCCGGACCGCCCCCGGCCCCGCGGCGCTGTCTCCCCTGGCCGCCCTTTGTCCGGGCCGGGCGGCGCCGGGGCCGCTCCCGGAGGCTCCGCCGCCGGGCTCCACAGCTCGGGCAGGGCCCCGCACCCCGGGCAGGGCCGCCGGCAGCACGGCCATCCCCGGCATTGTTCGCGCTCCGGGGCGGCGAGGGGCGGGGGGCGGCGGGGCCCCTCCGCCAGTACTCACCAGGGACGGTGGGGATAATCCTCGCCCCGACAGTGGCACAAAGGCGGCTCCGGGCTGGCTGTCCCGGGCTCTCAGCGCCGCTCCATGCCGGGCCGGGCCGGGCGGGCGGCGGAGCGGGAGGCGCGCGGTGCAGACGGACCCGGTGCAGTGAGGGGCTGGCACGCAGACACACACTTTTTGTTTGCTGCACATAATCTGCCCAATGACGCGTGACAGCCCACGTCCCTCCCGTTAACCCCTTCGGGGCTGCCCGCTCGCCGCCCGCCCGCCCGCCCCTCACCTGGCCCCGCTGCCACCGGGCACCTGCGGGGAAGGGGAACAGGGGCGCGACCCCGCCAACGGCTCTCTCCCGGGGCAGCGGGCGGGTTTGGGGCCGCCGCTCCGCTCCGGCCCGGCGGGGGTGTGGGGCGGGGAACGGGGGGGCCCGACGGCCGCTCCGCCCGGCGCTGGGATCCCGGCGGCGCCCGCCCGCTTTGCCCCTGCACCTGCCTTATAGGAGCATCTCGGACACGCAGTAAAAGCCCTCCTCGGCAGGACGGAGGCGGGGGGGGATGCCCGTGCCATGCCCGTGTCCCGGTCCGCGGAGCGGCCCTCCCGCGCTGTCGGCGCCCGGCGCAGGCCCGGCGTGCGGGGAACCGGCAGCGGGAAGCCCCGCGCTCCCCGCCGGAGTCCGGTCCCCCCTGCAGCGGGGAACACTTGGCCGGCGCCCCTCGCCCATTCCTCGCCTTTCCACAGCGTGGGGCGCCCGCGGACTCGCACCCCCGCACACGTGGGGCTCCCGCATTCACCGACACGCGCACAGATTCGGGGAACAGAAGCATCTGCAGATGCTCTATGCCGAAATAAGAGGGTCACCGCACGGAAAAGTGTTTACCGGTCCCTCCCTTTTCGCCGTCATTTCAGGCACAAAACAGATTTAAAAAAATAGAATTTAAAGCCTTTCTTTAAACTAAACAAAAGGAGAGACAAAGCGTTTTCCAGGGCGAACGGAGCGAGGTTTGCAATCAGAGAGTGGGCTGATGTTTGGCTCTCAAATTCATTTATCCTCCCCATAATTACGATTTTCCTTGCATTAGGATTAAAGGCTGCATATAATATGCTTTCAGCATTTATCTTATTAATTCGACAAAACGCAGCGTCTCCTAAAACGGAGATTGTCATAACATTAAAAATATGGGAGTCTAAAATTTTGAATCTCAAATCCTGCTTCAAATGTGGGTTTTTTTCCCTATTCATCTTTCTTTTTTTTTTGTTTGCCTTTTTTTTTTTTTGAGGCTGCAGCTCTCGCTGTGAGATATAAATTGTCCGAATGACTGTCGTTAGTAGGGGGAAAGAAAACCTACGCGTTATTTTTATTCGCGAGAATTTTAAGAGACACCACGGCACATAAACGATCTCGAAATCGCTTCGGCATGATCTCAGCTACCGAAATTCCCCGTGACTGGAAAGGACCGCGTCGGCATTTCTGAGCATTTATCCAGCCTCGGATGCCACTCTAAAAGTGGATCCCAGGGAACGGCGTCCCTCGCCCTGCAGAACAGCACTAGGATGGACGCGAGCTCTTTCCTTTGGAGTTTCTGCTGCGAGGTGCTCCGGCCCGGAGCGCCCACCGCAAATCCGCAAAGCCCGGCGCCCCGCCGAGTCCGGTGCCGGCGGCGCTCCCCCGGCCTCACTAAAAAGCCGCACCGGGATTTTTGGGGGACACGGCCCAGGTGCGCCGGGCCCGATCCAGCCCCAGCCGCGCTGCCAGCGGGTGCGGTGTCACCCTGTGGGGCCGTGCGATTGCTGCCCGCCGCCTCCCGGCTGCCACACGCTCCTATCTCGGTACATCCATGCATTTTCTATCTGCTTTTTCTTCCAGAAAACCTCCCGCGGAGAGCTAAGGGCGACCTGGGCTGAGGAGCTCCGGCCGCCTTCCCACAGACCCCGGCAGCCAGCAGCCCCTCGCCGCTCCCCGCTGCTCTCAGCCCCCCAAAAGCGCAGCCCCAGCCCCGACGAGCCCCTGGCAACGGCACCGGCACCGGCACGGTACAACCGGCTCCCGGGCAAGGGGAGGCCCCAGGAGCAGCCGGCCAGGACGGGGACCTGGGCTCGGAAGGGGTCGGGCTGGCGAACCTGATTCCCACGGACACGCGGCATCCAGCCCCAGGGTCCTCTGCTCCCCGGCTGGGGGGATGGCTGCAAGGGACAAGAGCACCTGCTCCTCAGCAGCGTCAGCCTTCTCTTTCCTCCCTGGGCTTCTCCCAGAAAGACGAGAGGAAAGGGGCCAAGGAGGCTGCTCAGCCTGTGCTCAGAAACACTACTGCATCCCTTGGGAAATGCTTCCTGAGTTGTGACATGCATCAGGCTTACTCCTCTGAGGAGACACATACACAGCTGAGAGTCGGCTCCCAGGTGACTGATATAAAGTCACCTGTAAAATAAAATCACTGAGAGAATACACAAGTTCCCAGAAGTGCATGAGCCCAGCCACACTCGCTCCCACCATGCCAGGGGACCATGGGGAGGAGGCATGAAGGGATGCCCAAAGTTGCCTTGCTGCCCTCTCTGCCCACTGCTGCCAGAGAAAGGGCCAGCTGTGGTCCCAGGGGGAGCCCGCACCAGGTGGAATGGAAAAGCCACTCGAAACCAAATGCAGAGCCACAAGCTTTCCTAGTGCCTGGAGAAATGCAGACAGAACGGTTCCCTTCCCTGGAGACAGACAGGCCTCTGTAGTGGAAATAAATCGGGGGCCTCAGCTAAACGACAAACCATCCTTTCTGCATGCCACTAGGCTCACAAACGGTGCCTTTTCTGGGGAAGCCCTATGCCAGGGTGCCAGCGGTGTCACCACCACGCTGCAGACCAGCATACAGCGTACAGAGCATTGTGCTTCTATCACCAGTAATCCTGCCAAGCAGCACATGGATCCCACGGGGAATCCTCAGCCCCACAACCGGATGGATAGGTCCCTACCACCAGACCCTCACCAGGGCTGAGGCACATCAGGAATGTCCTGTCCTGTTTCCAGCTCAGCTCCCAAACACACCTATGGTCCCTTCCTATTCCCTTCGACCCTTCAGCTGCACCTCACTGATGTGGGACTCCCAGGTCAAGTCACTGCCACGCCACAAAACCATAAATCCTTAAAAAGGGCCAGACATCAGCTTCACCTATTGCTCACTCCAAGGAGCAAGTACTCCTGCTCCCCAGGAACCCCAGCGAGACCCCATATACCTTCCCCACCTGCTTTCTCGTGATTCAGACACCACAGACACCTTGGCTGTTTCTTCAGCCCTGATGATGCTCGAACTTCCCCTGTAGTTCCTTCTGAGCAAGCGCAGAGTCTAGTGAGAAATATTAATTTGTGTATTCACCAAAGGGTCACAGAAATTTTTTTATAGCTGACCAAAACCCAGACCATTGAATATAATACAGGTGGCTGGTTAAATGGCTCATATACAGCTCCATATCACTGCTGACTTTCTGTCCCAAAATTATTTTCTCAGCTTTCTGCTTCTCCTCCTTACTTGGTCTGACAGCAGCAGCACAAGGTTTAAAACCTGGAAAGCTTTCACCTAGCTTCACCTTCCTTCAAACGTTTAACAGCCTGACAGAGGACGTGATAGGCTACGAGGGACAAAAAAGGCAGCGAAATGAAAGGGGGGAACCCCTGCATGACTGAAATCTGCTTCTGCCTCCTGTACACCCTCAGGCCTTCCTGTCCCCGTATGCCACCACTAGCATCCCATGCTGGGGCAGAGCCCACCCCACCGCATGGCCCCTGGTCATGCTTTGGCATGAGGCCAGGCAGAAGCCACAAGCTGAAAGGGGACACACTGCAACTGGGGGACGTTGCAGAGGGCTATCCCTGGGGGGACAGCCCCACAGCCCCCGGTCCAGCACTGCCCAGCATGGGGGTCAGGCAGTGCTGGGCTCCCTTTCCTTCAGGAGACCTGAGCTCGGCAAAGAGCTGTGGCCTGGATGTCTCTCTGGTGGCATCACGGCCTCCGTGCTGTCGGGTCTATGAGGATGTCACTCACAACTCCCCACCAGACCCTGGGTGGCCACTGTCCGAGTTACACATGGACAAGCCTTGGCAGGAGCTGGCTGCCCAAGCTGATCTGACTGTCAGGTGGATGTTCCCCATCTGGGGATGGCATTTTTCTGCGCTGCCTGGGGGCTGTAAAGGCCTCGGATGCTCCAGTGAGTGATAGTCCCTAAAGTTTGCAAAGGTTTGCTAAACCCTGGCGCAGAGGGGGTGGGGAGAGCTGTGAAAGGACACAGACGGGGCCGGGGGGAGGGAAAAAAGAAAGATGCTGAGGATTTCAGATCTGGCTCTGCAACAGCAACTTGACGTGGGGTGTGTGAGGAGCCTGAAACTTAAAAAGATTTATTTTCTGTAGTCATAAATCTCATCCCGTTGTTCCTCTGACCAACCAAGCATGATAAAGTCCTTTTCCATAAAGTATTCAGTATTAAAGCCACAAAGCTCACCCAATCAGTAGCCATCTGCTTCTCCCATAACTGCTGCTCCAGAAGCAGGGAAAAGCGGCCAGAAGAGAAAGGGCACCACTGTTACGGCTCCAGGACAAATGAGGAGGCACTGAATAGCAGCCGAAACCTTTGGTTTGCCTTGTATATCTGTATCTATAGAGACAGAGGAAGAAAGGAAGCATTATATTGATACAACAATCGTAAAACAAAAAAAGGAAGAGGCATCTAAAGGGCAATACAGCGGGCATCAGAGGGCCCCGCGGGGAGGGATGCTCGCAGATTCGTACAGACCTTTAATTGCTTTGCAATTGAAAGATAAAGAGGCCGAGGGAAAAAACGGGGAGCACGGCAAAGCGACCTGCGTTACACGGTGCATCGGCGCCCGAGCTCACGCAGCCAGCGAGCCGGAGCGGTCCTGATCGGGGTACGATATCCCCGGGACAGATCCCCCCCCGGGCTCCCCCCGGCCCGGCCACGCCGCGCTTAACTTGTTTTCCAGCCGGCTGGGAGGGAAGGACCCCCCCAACGCTCTCTTGGAGCTCCCCGTCATGAAGGACGCCTCCGGCAGCCTCCCTGGCCCCCAGGCTGCCCCCCCGGAGGGTGTTTGGCGGGACCCCTCCTCCAGCGCGGGGGACTCACCGCTCCCCTGTCGGCGCCGCTCCCGGCTGTACAGAAAAAAAGCAGCAACGGTGTCACCCCAAAAGGGACGCGGGGAGGGGGCGGCGGGAGGGTGATGGACCGCGGGCTGCAAGAGCCCCGGGGGGGTTGCAGGAGCCCGGGGCGGGCAGCGCCCAGCGAAGGGCGGCCCCCGCCCCTTCCTGCGCTCCCGCCCGCCGGGCAATTAGCGGATTAATGACCGAGTTGGCTGGTCCTCTGAGAGACGGGTGTTCGATCGGGACTCCCACCGCACGGCCTGGGGCGTGGACATCGCCCCCAGCCCGCGGGGACACGGACAGGGACCCACGGACATCGGGCGGGATTAGCGACGGAGGGCCAGGATTAGCGGCCGCCCGCGCTGCTGCCGCTCTCCGGGATTACGCCGGGATTAGGAGGCGGCTCCGTCCCCGCTCCCCCGCCGGGCAGGGCGGGAGGGGGAGCCCCGGGAGCTCAGTTCGGGGTGCCCAGGGGGGCCGTGTCCCCCTGTCCCCACGCTCTACCCGGCGCATGCTGCTTCCCTCCGATGGAGGGCAGGAGAGGAAAGACGAAGCCTGGGATGCTGCCGACGGCGAGATGCAGGTGCCAGGCATCTGCCCGCAGCCATCCCGGCTCCCGGGAGGCACTGAGCCCCCTGCTCGGCCCCCCATCCCTCGGCACGGCAGGAGGCCGGAGAGACCAGCAGGAGCCGGAGCTGGAAGCACAGGGGACAAAAGAAAAAGGGTGGTGGGTTTTTCGTTTAAGAACCCCTGGCACGTGAGGGAGAACAACACAAATAAGATTTACGCACCGATAAAACCAGGGGCGAGGAGTGAGAGACACGGATGCGCTTCCCTCCCTCCCGCAGGTTTGGTTTCTCTCGCAGAGCACGAGTGGGACTGAACGCTGCGTTGAAGGCACAAGTCACTCCGTGGCTTTTCCCAAGCACCATCATGTCCAGCAGCCCTGTATTATGTCAAAAATCTGGCATGGCAGGCAGTGGCACATCTGTTAGGTGTGGATGACATTCATTAGCCAAGGTTCTCTGCTAAACGGCCTGCCAGAGCCTCAGCAGTGCTGCCCAATGCCAGTCACTTATCTGCTGCCAGCTCAAAGGCAATCCTGTTTCAGGAATGGCTTCTTTCCATGCTGGCAGGAGAAACAGAGGAAACAATGCATTTAGATGTTTGGGATGTGAGCGGGGTTGCACATGGGAACAGCAAGCAGATGTAGCAGGAGAGGAGATGAAGTTGTGAAGTGTCATTTAATAATTGCAGCACACGGGAGATGTGCTAGTGAGCCGAGGTTTGGGAGGGGAAAGCGAGAACCCCTTTCCAAACCGCAGGTCAGACAGTGGTGGATGCTTTTTGGAAAGGAAAGGTAATGAGGCTAATGCAGCAAATAACTCCCTGTGCCCATGTGAAGGACACACACACCAGCCTGGGGAGACTAATGCCAGGGCAGCCAGAAAAACCACCCAGGCCAGGGGAAGGAGGTGTGCTGATCTGCTTGATGGTCGGCCTGGCTCAGGTGTCCTTCCCCTCTGGGGGTCTACCTGCTGCAGCCTGGACAGCTGCCCTGCTCGTGACGTAGTGGGCTCAGTGCTGGTCATGACAGCTTGGTTCACAGCCCAGAGGGGCAGCTGCAAACCTGGGGCAGGCAGGGCACTCACCATGCTCTTCTGAGAGTGATGTGGTAGCCAGAGGTGGAGGGAAGGAACACCTGTTTGGCACTGCTACGAACATCAATCTCTGGGAAGAGAGGCTCTATTTTCCTCTGCTCAGAGGCCCTGTGAAGGTCCTTGTTCCTACAAAGGAATTAAAACACCTTGAGATGAGATGGATGTAAAGATGTTAATCTTCCCCTCTTATTACTTTAATAAATTTACAACCACCTAATGAGGTTTAAATTTGAGCCACTATTTGGTTTCCAGTGAACCTGGGAAGCAACCTCAAATAAGTGCTCAGTAAAAGCTCCCCTCAACCCTGTCTTCCCTCAGCTTCCACTCCGACTTCTATTTCTGTTTACCTCCATTCACTTAAGTAGTGGTTCATAAAATGTGAGATGCTACCTACACATGCACACAGTCTTCACCTCTCAGATAATTCCTGTGACAGCCTCAGTATCTTAAATCTTCCACTACTTTTGCTCACGCTGTGAAAGACCACCAGCAGCTTGCAGTGCTCTTCCTGCTTCTTTCAGCCAGGCAGGGAATTACAGGCTTTTCCCCCAGCAGTGGTCTCTCTGCAATTACCTGTCCTATTAAATCCCCACATACATCTTCCCGAAGCCCCCCAAGAGCCCTGCAGCCGCTTGTCCCCCCCCCGGGCCAGCACACTGTTCCATGGTGGTGCCCATCTCCAACACCACACATGCTCTGCCTAAGGCTGATGGGACACTCTTCCCACAGGCAGTGGCTCCCCCGACATCCCCTGTGCCATCTGTGGCACAGCTCAGCTGTGAGCCCTTTCCTTCTGCTCCCACCTCCCCGGGAAGTCGTTCTGCTCCGGCTGCATTCCGGGCTGAGCCTTATCCACCTTCTGTTTCTGCACTGGGTTTGTCTCTGTTCTGATTAGTTGGTTGGCCTCAATCAAGTAATGTCTGCAAATTATATTTCCCCAATTTCCTACTTTACGTGGTTTGACACTTGCTGTACCACATGCACCAACACACTCCTGCCAGGGACTGTGTGAATCCCACAACCTTCCATCCTCAGACACTGGAACTGGGTGGCTTTAAGAGCAGAAACCAGATCAAGAGGCAGAGATGTGATGCTTCTCCCCCCTCTCCAAACATTATACCTTCACTTAAATACATGAGTAATCCCATTGGATCTACTCTGGTGCTTAAAGTTAAGCCTATTAAGTGTTCATGGGGCAGTGGTCTGCACACAGAGGAGCCAGAAGAGAGGGGAAAGCAGGGTGCTGCTCTGGAGGGGAGACATGGTGGTGGTAAACACCTCCCTACTCTCCTTCCCCTCAGGGCCACCTCCTCCTTCAGCTGCTCCTGACAGCCCCGGCAGCAGGCTCCCTTCAGGGTTTGGCACTGCCACTGACATCAGCGATGTGAGGGCAGTAATGGTGAGGGCTGGCAGAATAGAGGGGAAAAACGTGCTTTAAAAACTCCCGTCAACACAAAAGCCTGAATTCATTTTCTAATTCTGGGTTGGGCTTTGTAGTTACTGTGTTGGAAACTTTGTTTCATTCTGTTTTCAAGGTGTTTCTCACGTGACTCATTGTATTCATTGTCACCATTTTCAGACAATGAAGCAGGAGAGAGCAGAGTTATTGCTGCTCCTATGAGGAGGGGTTTTGTAGGAAAGCACTCATGCATGTGTTTCCTTTGCTCTCCAAGGATTTCAAGCATGTACTTAAATTTAAACCTAAGTACTTTTTGGAACAGGGACCATCTCTTAGAATGGGGACTTGATTCAAAACCTGCACGTCCACAGAACTCCGGCTCTTGACTCTTTGCTTCAAGCACTAGAAAACCTCCTGCCTCGGCTGCACAAAGCCATGTCCCATCCTTTCGTGCATTTCTTGGCACGTGCATATTCTAATTCCCAACACCACCCTTTCTTCCCCTTTTCTTAGCTGGCTTTTCTCTGGGCGCAATGCATTATGTTTTCCTCTATGTACTACTCCATACTGCTTGCACAATGTTTTGCATGATCTAATATTCTTTGTTCAAAACTGCAAAAAAATCTAAATAAAGACTATAGCGTGTCGCATCAGTATAGGCATCAGCTAACGTTTTCCATGGCATATGGTACTTCAGAAGCCATATGTACCACTGTTTAGTGATTCTGGCAAAGAGGCACAGAATAGTGAAATCCAACTGCCAGGATTTCTGAAAACAAATATGTAAATGCTCCAGTGCTTTTGTTATTCATAACATACCTCTAACACAGCACATACAATATGCTGTTCATTCTGTAACGAGTATACTACTAAACTATATTTGCTTCAGTTCTCATTTTAAAAGATTTTTTTTCTTCTGTATATGATTCCGCCATCCTCTCTATCAAAATCAATTTAAATTGCAATTTAGAAAAGGCATTTTGTCTGTTTTCAAGGATACACTTTTGGGGTGACTGTGTACCTACAAAACAGTCTCACATCAGAACAAAGACAGACCTTATCTCAGCAGCCTGAGAGTGCCCATTCTAACTAGTGGAATGAAAGCAAGGAAGGGAAGTGCGTTTAACCAGATTGGTTGTGCAAAGTGAAGCCTGTTCAGCCAGGAATAACCTCCTGGGGAACACGGGTGGGTTGGCCCCACTCACAGGCTGATGCAAATCAAGCAGGCTGACAAAGCTTTTGGGAACAGGCCCTAGGAAACAATAGTTGTGGAGGAAACAGATGATTTCAAACACGTGGTCCAAGGTGGACAGCAGCTGCCAAACTCTGACCTGGGCTGGGATCAGTCCCAGTGAGCCAAGGCTCTGCCAGTGGCCAGGGACAACGGATTTGGTCCATGGCTGAGGGTTTGTCCCCAGAGAGGCCGGCAGCACTGAGGCCAAAGTGTCAGGGCAGTGCACAGAGCTCACATGCAGCACTGTGCACCACTAAGGCTTCAGACCCCACTGGCGAAGGCAGGAGCCCTCCTTCCAGAGCCAGCACCGGCACGTAAACAAGAATCAACACCCAATCCCATTAACCATCTCTGGCAGCACTACTCCGGGTGCTCCTCTCATCCGCAGAGAGCCTGTCATCTCCACCTAGGATCTTGCTGTGATGAAGGATTTCAAAATGTTGCTGTTTAACATTCAGCCTTGCCATTCACAACAAACATTTTAACATTCCCTGTTGCCACCATTGCCTCTGTCTTTCGGTTTATCAGTGTACAAGGAGACTGAAATTCTGGGAGTGATCAAACATGTTCACGAGTTGCTCTGCAGCTCGCTCCCACCTTGGAAGTGGTACTGTTGCGCATCACCAGGGCCAGCGCTCAGCATCCCATGGCTTTGAGTGACACCAAAAGACCAGGCAAACCTCAGGAGGAAAGGACAAATAGCAATGCCTCCGAGAAACATTTGCATTTTCAGTCTATTGCCTTTGTAATTTACACTGTTTAAACCGGCAAACCTATGACTCCCTGAACACCTTCCTGGCAAAATCCCTACAAGGACCTGAAAAAATTCATCCACGCCCAGATTTGACAGCATTATTCGAGACACACAGATGCCTTTTTCCCAAGAGATCAAGGACTGCTGCTCCTTTCTTTGCCAGTCTTGCACTGCAGCATCCCATTTCAGCAAGCACAACCTCCCTCACGGGCATCTCGTTCCCAGCGCAGCCTCTGCTTGACTTTCTACCTGTGCACATCAGACCTGCTCATTACTGTCTCCTGCCAGCCCCCACTGCATTATCTCGAGCTGCAAACCCTCTGGGTGCTCAAGCACCTCCTTTTTGGTAGGTTTTTCTGTCTGCAACAGGAACCAGGATCCCACTTTGCTCCTCTGAAGCTACAGAAATACTCTGTTAAAAAGCTTAAGCCAGAGCTCTGCATGCAGCCAGGTCTTTCACCAGAAACACTTGGGTTTTTTTCTATTCTATTTCACAAAAGAAAACCTTAAAATAAGCCTTTATGTTTTCCTACTTTCACAGGCCCTTCAGCCAGAGCAGTTTCTTCCTATTCTGTTCTACCCAGCAGGTGATAGAGTTGCCATAAGAAATGTTGGCTTTCAGTCTAAGTGCCAGGATTAGAAAAAGAGACAATTAGAAAGTGAAAAGTGGCAAAAAGCTCCTAAGAAGCCAAAAATAAAAGAACAAACAAACATACAATCTGGCTATCAAAAAAAAGCCACATTTTTCCCTTACTGCAGTAAAAATCAATGCTACAGCAATCGCAGAGTATTTTGAAAGGTAAGAAGTCATGGGGAGAGGGAAAAACAGTCCAACAGGGTCAAAAAGCTGGGGTCAGCCCTGGAAAAACCACCTGAAGGGGCTGACAAAGGAGGGGACAGGGAAAGCCAAGTGCCTCTCGCTGTGCTGACATGACATTGCACTGATCCTGCAGCCATAGGCTAAGACAAACTACCCTGGGAAGGGAGGGAAGGGAAGGGAGCCAAAAAAAAGAGCCCGTTGATTGAGCTGGTTCATGTGCACCGGCGTTTATGGCAGAGCAAAGGTCAGTCTTGTATTACCTCTTGTGAATCCCTCTTGAACGAGCAGGCTGGGGATTTAATGGGCTAAGGACCAAGATTTATCGACATACCAGGGATTGCTGGCCCTAACTTTTAACCGGCGGGCAGGGGGGGGGGGGGGTTCATTAAGTGGGGGCTATACAGGGAGTAGTCGCTGGCTTAGGCCAAGAGTAAATGTGATCTCCTCCCACAGAACTTGCCACTGCGTTAGAGACACCAGACTGTTTTCTCTCAGCACAAAAGTCAGCAGAAAGCCCTCACCTGAAACTGTCGGAGCAGCTGAGGGCACAGAGGGGATGGTGAGGGGAAAGCTGGAAGGTGTACCGTTTTACTTCTGCATTTCTCATGACATCTGTGAACTCTAGATCAGCAGAGAAAACCCAAACCCACACTAATGAACACAGCAGGTACTCCTTCTCTCCATAGGTACCCCCTCTCTGGAGCCATGAACACCCACCGCCCCTGACAGGACAGACCCCTCTCCAGGGCCACGCACAGCTCCCATCTGCAGTCTCCCCATGCTACCACAAAATCTGGCCTGTTTTAAGGAAGAGCAGTGCTCATGTGGGATATAACACCCTCTATAGGCTCACTCCTTTCCTAAACCCCACCCCTTGCTTGCACAGCAACCATGGCTTCAGGAGAGGGAACAACCTGAGCAGTTCTATGTTTAGAATCCTTACACCTCTCCTACTACCTATTTCCACTGAGGTCCACATCTCTGCACCTTGGTCCCTCCACCTGGAGCATCACCTCTGGCTGCCTGTACATGAGTTGCTGCGTTATTTTTCCCCTGTTCTTCCTGGGATGTTTCTATGGATCCTGCTGCATCCATCACACTCTTATTTTACAAGATCCAGCTCCATTGTGAAAACCTCCTGAGTTTTCCCCAGCCACTTTAAAAAAAAAAAGCCCCAAAAACATGGACTATTTTTACACTTAGGGTTCTCACACATTCCACACTTATTCTTACCTTTTTCTTTTCCTGTTTCAAACTGAATTCCCGGTGGTGCTGGATGGGGGTACAGGGGCAGTAAATTCACTCTGTCCTCCTCGGGCAAAGCTCTCAGCTGCCCTCTGCTTCCCTCTTCTTTCTGTGGGGAGAGGCAAAGATTTCTCACCTGAGACACCATCCCCAGGAGCTTCTATCCCCCTTTGGGGCACTTACACACCTGAACCCCTTTGGGCACCGGGGCTGCAGCAAGAACAGCTGGGAGAGCCAGGGAAGGACTGAGAGGGAGATTTCCAATATGTGCTCTTGTGGAAGGAGAGAATAATTGCTCTCCTGCAGCCCGTGCCAGCACTTGTTCTTTGCCAGTTGGCAGAGGGTACCACTTCCCTTTCTGAGGAACCCTTAACATCCACCTTTCCCCCCAGGAAGGGGACCATGGAGGCTGGGGTGAGTCCTTCCAGGCAACCAGGCATCTGTAAGGAGCTGCAGGCTTGGGAAAGAAGGAAGAACCCAGCAGAAAGAAAAGGAAGAACTCAGCTTCTGCTTCACAAACTTCTTTTAGCTGAAGGGGAGTAGCCGCACATCTCTCCTTACCTGAGGGTTCCCATGGGAACACAGAAGGGCCCTGTAACAGCAAATTTTGGAACGAGTACGTCTGCGAACAACTTCTGGTATAATATTTGAGTCCTCAGATGTTCAGCCATTTGCACATACTGCACGAGGGCCTGATTTGCATAGGATTTGTATTTGTTGCTATTCACATTTGTAGGGGAATGCATACATTAGATTAATGTCATCACAGTTTATGGAGATCATCTGTGCCACAGTACCAGCTCCGGGCTCTGGCTGCATTCTGTGCCCTGTGGCACACAGCAACCCCTCCTGCCCTGCCAGGGCCACAAGAGCTGGCACCAGGCCTGGGCACGGCCACACTGGGCCCCAGGGTGGTCCTGCTGGGCTCTCCTCTGCAGGAGGCCCTGCTAGCTTTTCCTAAAAGAGAAGTTGAAAGACCATTGTCAGAAGCAGCTTATTTTGGAAATATTGCTTAGCCCACGTTCCAAAGGTGAAATTAATCGAACTATTTGGAGTTATCCTCTTATAATTGCTCATATGATCTTACATCACACTTTCTGCTCATATCTTCAGTCCCTACATATGGACATTCAGCTGTCGAACAGTCCAACTAGGTGGTCCCTTCCCATCTTGCATGAGCATCACTCCCCTGGCAAAATGGGATGGTTATTATTCCCTCTCTGGTTTTCCATGGCAGCTGGGTGCTCTTGTCTGCTGGACAGCTGGAAGCTGTCACTAGAGATGCTGTTCTCACAGAAGCATTGCTGGGCTCAGTCAGTGTTTGTAAAGCAGATGGAACACCTCAGAAGAACAGCACTGCAGAAACAAAAGCTCATTTTCTGCTAGGGAATTTCTACTATTGGGTAGTGCTTCCATCAGGTGACTTCACACCCCGGTGAGCCCACATGCCATCACAGTCTAATGGTGATTTTGTTAACCTGCTTCCACCACTGAGGCCCTGCAGCTCCACTTCCCAAGGCTGGCCACTGGGCCTTTTTCCATCTCTGCGCTCCCAAATTGGACAGCACAGAGAGCACACGGGAGCAGCAGTGATGGGGGCTCACACCCCGCTCTGGCCCTGCCACCCAGGATTTCCTGGTGGACAGACCTCTGCTCCATCCTCAAGGAGCCACACACGCCTCTTATCCTGGCATTCACTTCTGAGTCTCTCCTTGTGTGCATGATCAGTTGGATTTCCTGCAAAATCTGTCTCAATCTTGATGATGCAACCAAGAGGAAGTGGGTAGCACAAAGGAAGGGCACACATCTCCAAGTCTGTGATGACCTCACACTTACCCTGGTAACAGGCCAAGTAACATCTTTTGGCAGCTGCTTAGAGCCCCGCTATCTGGAGCACGTGCTGCCAGCCCATGCTCCAGCTACATGTACAATCCAGCTGCTCTAATGGCTCCCTACCCAGGCACAGCTCTCCCACCTTGCAGCACAAGTGCCATCCCACTGCATCCCATAAAGCTGTTGTGGCATGGATAGCTCACCTAAGAGAAAGGCATGCACCATTCTAACATGGGTTAGTAGACACAATTTCAATATATGGCTCTTAGAAGCAAAATCTTGAAAAGTCCTTTCAATATTTGAGAGTTTTACTCTTATTTTCCAATGGATTTATGCACTAAGAAACCTAGGTGGAAACCTCCAAGTGATAATCAAACCTCTTAGATATCTCAGAAAATGTCCCCAAATGATGTAACTAACACCCTTGTGACAAACAACTCCCTATTTTTCTTTGTGATGGCTCCTACTTCCCACCAACATCTGTCACTGTGATTATGATCTCTAATGAGCTTCTAAATTATATTGCAGCATTTTGCCTTGATGAGCTACATTCAGTAACTTTCATTCTGCAAGACATGAAACACTTCCTACAAGATGCTGAATGAAAATTCCCTCAGCATAACAGCTGAGAAACTGGTTTGTTTTTTTTTTCTTTTGCCTGTTTTTGTTTGGGTTTTGGTTGTTTGGTTTTTTTCCAGTGTTCTGTTTGGTGTTTTTACTGTTCTGTTTGGTGTTTTTAGTTACACATCTTATTTGAGGAAGCCTAGGATCTTTACAAATGAGAGACAGAGATGTGAGCCCTCCTACCTCACACCCAAAAAATCTTCAGCCAGAGATGGGGACTGTCTCTCACCACACAGCAGCAGAGACATCAAATGTTTCTGCAAGGCAGAACCCGGGGAAAAACCCAAGCCAAGGTCCCAGAGAAACTTCCCATTATTTTTATGTTGTTTTTCAGTTACAACTGAAGGCTAGTTTGGGTGATTTACCCAGACACTTGGAATGTTGTACAGACTCAGTTTCCCCATGCTGCCAGGATACAGAATATGCTCCACACCTCCTCATACGTATTTTTTCCCCCTGATGTTCACACTTAGTGCAACTGGAAAAGTGACTATTAACCAGCAAGGTTTGTTGCCTCGGCTGTGGTCACACATCTTTGTTAATAGATGCCCACCCTGGCTGGCAATGTCTAGGTGACTTGGATCTCTCACATCCATGTTCCTGTTTATTCCTGAGGCAGCAGCAGCCCGGCTCAGCGCTCTCACTGAAACATGTTCCTGACATGCACATTCAGTGTCACACCATGCACTGATGTCACCTGCCCATCTGGAAAAGTGTTAGACTATACTTTCAGGGATCATTTCTGTGCTTCAAGACAAGGACAGAGCAGGCAGATGTTTGTATGCACAGCTTCCCCTGGGGCAGGCAGCAAGGCGCTGGCTCCCTGCCGGCGACTCATCTATGCCTTTCCCTGCCACTCATCCAGGGTTCGTGACATGGCTGTGTCACGAGAGCTGTGATCAGTACAGTTTGATTTATAGGACAGGATCTATGGGGGTTATTCCTTATTTTCTGCAGATAAGGACAGGCAGTGTTGATGAGCAGTTGCCACATTTCCAGCTCAGAGTAGCTGTGCAGGTGGGACAGCACAGGACTGGCAGGGAGCTGCTGAGGGGCTTGTGCACCATCACTTGTCTGTGCCACCAGGTGAGTTGCCCGAGTGAGCACACACTGACTCATAACTGTCTCCGACTCAGGAAATGAGTTTGTTGGGGAATTAAATTATTCGCACATCCTCAGCAGGGGCTGAAGCCCCTCCCCGTTCTAAGTGCTTCACTACATATGTCTTGTGCTATAGTACCACAAGCTATTATGCTTCTGGTTTAGCTTTGCTGAACAAAACATTTCCTTAACAAAGCCTTTTTTACAGCCAAGAGACCACAAGAATTCAACATGAACACTAAAATACTGCCCCATGGGGATGACAGTTTAGTACCACAGCTCTTTTCCTGTGACTATTATTGTATGTCAGCTGTACATGTTGCCACAAAGCAAGGCCAAATATGCCACCTTCTACACACCTATAAGCTGATCCATGCAAACATGAAGCCCTTACCAAGCCGCTTCACCTGCTCATCCCTGGGTGAAGGGACTCTTCCTACCTTTATAGACTACTGCACTTGCTGCTCTGCCAACACCACTGCTGGAAACAGAGCCTGCAATCCCGACAACACTGCTCCACCTCCAGCCACCCTACCTGCCCAGACACAGGAAGAGAAAAGGATAATCTTTTGGATGACAGACAGTAAGACATGAGTACAGCTCACCACACAGTACAAGTTTAACTTCTTAAGTGTGGAGAAATTGAGGAAAAAGTAATTCAGAGTCATGCAGATGTAAACAGCAGTCAGATAAGATACATCCCAGCTACCTCACTCCTGTCTGAGGGCCAGCACAGTCACACTGATGTACAGAAGCATTTGTCATCCAGGCAGCTGGGGGAGCAGCTCACACGAACAGGGCAAGTTAGGCTGACGTACACGGAGTCACCGGCAGGGCTCAGCTGGTAAATAACCAGGCATGGCCCTGACTCAGCCAGCAAACACTCCCACACGCACCCTTCCTGCCCTGCAGTCTGACAAGCAGCAGAACCAGGAGCTGACTGCAATAAAATCCCAACCTACCTGCTAAATGTGGTGTTTTGCTGAGCACATCCTCTAGAAGGTCTGGCTGGAGTTTGCAGGTCGGTGTACAAGCCTTCAGTGACCTGCTGTTACACAAGGCAGCGGAACACAGGACTGCAGCCGAGTGCAAGATCTGCATGGAAGAAGGGAAATCCTCCAGTGAGGTTGGGAAGTACCTCTGATGGTCCTACCTCCTGTTCAAAGCATGGTCAACACCAAGTCCAGGCCAAAGTTTAGGGCTCTTACTAGTCAGGCCTTAAAATCCCTTGTGGGAGCCAACTGCACCACTCCAGGCTGCCCTGCCCAGTGCTCAGCTCTGGCTTTGTGGTGACAAAGTTCCCCTGCGTTCTGCTGCTCCTCCTCCCAGCCTCAGGCACACAGCCAGCCCATCACCTGTCCCTGAGGAGCTCTGCACCCACAGAGGACAATCCGTCCCCCAGAGAACTCATATCTGTCCCCCTCAGTGCCTGCATGGTGTCCTGGACCAGCAGGGACACTCCAAGGCTCTGCTCCCCCTGTGCTGGCCATGCCACAAGAACCTCTGAGCTGTCTGAGCCCTTCCAAGGGCTCTTCTGCCTGCACCACCCTGTCCTGCATGCCCAACACCTGGAGCCTCGCTGCACAGTGCTCCTTCCCTCACTTGCTACCAAAAAGCAGAGACAGAGCCCTTTCCCAACTTCCAGGTGCCACAAGCTGCCACCCAGCCCCATTCTGGAGCCTCCATCTCTTCTCATGGCAGCACCACTTCCAGCCAGTCCTCCTTTCCTGTGTCCTGGCTCTTACCTGCAGGCAGGTCATGATAGAAGCTCCACCAAAGGTCTGACATCTCCTCATCTGCCCCTGCTGGTGCTACACAGCCCCAACCCCTCCTTCAGCTCTTTCTTCCACAGAGCTCCACCAGGTCAGACCCCAGTCCCACATCTTCCTCCTGACAACACCTGCTTCCCCCAGGCATACAGAGAACCAGGTATCAACTAGCTACCAAGCTCCCATTGCACATACCTGATGTCCTGGGAGCAGTATTTCTGCCTCTTGCTGCTCTGCAAACCTCCGCACTCTGTGCTGAGCTCCCACGCATGACCCTCTCCCACCAGCAGCAGCATGCTGCCCGAGTGATCCCCAGGAAAAAAGAGGGGAGTCTCCAGGTATAGCCCTTATAATCAGAGACCCACAATCAAGGAACAACAAACAGCTGTTTGCAGCTGCAGGTGGGCCCAGAAGCAACCTAGAGCAGTGATCCCCACCTAAGGAAAGCAGAACCTGCAGGTTCCAACTAAAGTAAATGCTCAATTGGCAAACTCCAAAATTAGGAAAGCCCTCAAAACATGGGTAGAGAAAAAAAAAGAGGGAAAAAGGGGAAGAAAAATATAAATAAAGTTTCAAAAACCATGGAAAGGAATGGTGAAAAATTGCTGAAAGAAGCACAAGTAGTAATGCCAGCAAAGAAATCTCCTGGTGAAAAAACATAGAGGAGTATGTTTTTACGCCAAGTCCAAAATTCCTCCCCCAAAAAACAAAGAAGTTCTCTAAGTGCTGGTCTTTACTGAGCACCCATATCCCTCCCGGAGTGTCCCCCCAGCCCACACCTCCTCATCAGCAGGCACGATAAGAGGTAAAGCAAGCCAAGGAACAGACCCAAATCGCAGGGACACTTCTGGTTGGCCCATAGTTGAATTGTGTTGGGTCAAAGCACGGGCCAGCTGCTTGGGCACGCTGCTGCTGTGGGGCACATGGCTCTCTGTGACTGTCACTCGCCCAGCCTTGCACGCCGGAAGAACCTGGCACAGATGACTTCATGAAACCAAATTAGGGGTCATACACAAGAAAGGACATTGCCACAGCTCTGGTGTAATTAGGGCCCATCATCATCAAAGACAGGAAATTGGCACATCTGCTTTTTGGGCTGCTGACCCAACGGTGGCTCGGGTGTGCTGTCCTGTTGCAGCCCGCTGCTCCTCTGTAAATATTGACCTAATTGCCCCCTAACAGTAGTACAAGCAGTTGTTTTATCATTCATCCTCCCAATTGCTCTTTCCTCGTTCTCCCCTGGTCCTGGGAGGACACAAGGGACTTCACAGCACAATGCCCTCTCTCTCCTCTGCAGCGGCAAAGAGGTCAGGCTGGATGGATAAACATCGGCCCCTTTTCACCCAGTGTGACCCCAAACTGAGCACAAGTGACATTTCTGTCACCACAGAGGGGTTTGAGCCTGTTTCTCTGGAGTTAATGATAAAACTGTTACAAACTGGGTGGCTGTGGAATCACGACCTGTGCTTTTTTAAAAATTATTTTTCTCCATATGCGCCTCAGAAATGTGTTGCCCCTTTTCCAGGGGACACTGCTCTGCAGGCAGAATTCCTGCCTGCTCTACTCCTCTGCCTCCTCTGGTCAGGCCGTTGTTTCCTGACAAGACCAAAAAGGGTCACTGCAACTCTAGAGTTGTGCTAAACTCCCAGCCCCGGTGATCCTTGGGTGCTGCTCTGAGCCAGCAGCAGCTCCTGGGCCAGAGTAGGACTTGCATGTTTTCTGTCCTGCTTTCTTTCACTCTCCTGGGCCAAGAGGGACTTATTTTTATTCTGTGGTGGTTTGTGCCAGGGCAGGGCACCAGCCAGCGGAGAACCACACCAAAGAATAACGGATCCTGCTCCACCTCTGCTGAAACAGAAGTGAGTCCCAGGGATCATCCTAGGCTCCTCAGGGCAGCCAACGGGCCAGTGTGCACACAGCAGGGACATCACTCTGTATTCCCACATTTATACCCTCCCTCATCCATAGTGCTAGTCTTCATGATTCCTAGTTTTCAGAGTTGAGGGCTTTTTTTCCTCCCTGTGTTTTCATGTGTATTTTCAGTGGGTACTGAGAATGCTTCATGATCTTGGAAAAGAAGGGTTATTCAGGAATTCTGAGCTTGCATAATTCCCAAATTTGTCTAGACAGATAGTTTCCATCTGGGTGATGCATGCAACACCACAGGGAAATGAGAGTTCCTTTGTTACTTAATGCTGTCCTTTATTCATTTCTACACTGCTTTACAGGATGAGCACAGACATGAAGCTACAGCTGTAAAGGAAAAAAAGATTTGTACCTAATCCTTCAGGAGGCAGCTCCCAAACAGCTCCTGCACGTTGTATAACTGCTGGGGTCCTTCTGGTTTCTCTTTTTACAAAGCATGAGACTTCCATGTGTGGTTCACATCCTGTGAGGGGAGAAGAAAAATATTTTTCTGTGAGCTGCCCTAAGTCAAATTCTGTTTTAAGCTGGAATGGCTCAAGGGTTCCCATCAGCATCACCTGACCTTGGGGTTGCACAGCTCAGAGTGTCTGGAAGTGCTGCCTGGTGCCAGTGCTGTGGAGCAGGACCTCCAGCTCCCCCCTTTCACGCTGCTCCTGGATCATTTGGTAGAACAGCAATCCCGGACCTTAGTCAGAAAGGAGATTTAATTAATCAGCACTGCAGCCGCAAACACAGACACACCCAGGTTTCATTTTTCCCAGACAAAATTTTGGCAATTGCTGAGCATCCTGCAGAAAGCAGGCTGGCTCACAGCTGTTGGGCAGAGGTATCCTGGACCAGAACCGAATTTATCAAGCAACAAAGCCTTCCTGACCCTCTGTATTGTACAGAAAAGGCAGCCTCTGTGGCTGCCGAGCTGCTGCTTGACTCTGATCCTGAGGTCACCTCACCCCAGCAATGAAGGATTTCCTCCCCCCAAACACCACCTTTCTGCTGCAGCATTCCCAAGGACCCGAGGCTGGGCCAGGCTCACAGCCAGCTTACACTGAGGGTGACTTTTCGCTCCAACTGCTCACTCCTGAAACACACAGAGGTGGGTTTGGCACTCACATAGCCTGCCTGAGGTCTTCTCCACTGGCTTGGGCCAAAAAAAAGGTGGGAGTGGGTGGATGTTAAATGACAACATGTGTGGAGATCATCTGCAAATGCTGGAGACAAAGGAGGGAACTGTATAACCCCAAAGGTGCTGTAAGCTGTTCTGTTTACTACTTTCTCCGCAGTAAATCTTGGCAGTGAACTTGTGTTCATCTGCACATCGACCTTTCATATGAAAACTTCTGCTTCTAGTGCTGGCTTACTTTAAAGCTGTATTTATTTAAGAGTTCTGTTTTAAATGACCGAGGACAGTTACCCCACGGTCCCTCTGTTCTCCCTGCTGTCCCAGCCACCAAGGAATACTACAGCACAAGAAACCAGTGTTTCTTGTAAAGGAGGTCCTGTAAACTCCACTCCAGACCAACAGGTTAAGGAGCGAGGGCCACCTGTTGCTTCTCCAGATGTGGAACCAACATCCAGAGGCAGCAGGAGACCCAGTGGCAGAGGTCTACAGCCAGCCTGGTTCCCTCCATGCAGCTAAGAGCAGGAGCAGTCTCCTGCTGCTGCAATACCATCTTTGCCTCAGTGCTGGCAAGCTGCTAATGCCCCATCCAGCTCCTTGGATATCAGGAAGATATCAGCTCAGCTCCAGGAGGCAGCTCTCCAGAGGTTTTGTGTGCACACAGTGAGAAACGCCCATCCCGCTGGGGCTGGGCACCCTGGGCCAAGGTTTACGCAGCGCTGGGATGCTGGAGGAGGCTGGGACAGAGCCAAGCATCGGCTAACGAGTTCTGGGAACCGGGAAAGGAGGCTCTGGGCCCGTGTGCGAATGAAGCCAAACACAGGCAAATAGCCACGATCCGTCGCCCTGTACCTCCTCTGTGCCTATCTCCCTCTCATCCAGCCATTCCAGCAAAACAGGCATGATTTATCTGCTACTTCAGCAGAAACCACAGCCTAAAAGAGGAATTCATACACTTGGAAACAAGAAAAGAGCAAACTGGCAGGAGAGGATCGTTCCAACCAGTGGGTCACATGTGCCTGAAGCAAGATTTCCAACATCTGGATAACGTGACACATACTCACAGACAAGGCGAGTGCTCCCGGGGCTTGGGGAGGACTCATGCAGCTCAGAAAGCTGGAGTGCAGCTGTTTTTGGGAAGCTCAGCAAGCCTGCTCTTCTGCCTCTGCGAAGAGGGAGAGGCGGCACTGCACGGCCTTTCCTTTGGTTGGGTCTTTGGCAAAGCACAGGCTGCTCTGTCCTTAAACTTTCACGTTTTGTGCATCCACAGGGACTGCAAAACACTGCTTGCTTACCCTTTGGCCTTGCTGCTCTAGGGCATTAAGAACTTCACGAGCCAGATTTCTGACTGACATAAATCACTGTTGGTTCATGGACTTTCATGAAATTTCCAACTTACATCACACAGATGCTTGGCCTGGTGTTCGGATCTGCACAGAGAAGGCACTCTGACATGGACATGTCAGGTCAGAGCACTGTGGCTTCAGGAAACCATCCAGAGACGGCAGGAAACGGGATGAAATCAGATGAAAGGAAAGCTTTCTGGCAGGATGACTCTGACTCTGACTTCCCCATCTCCTCTTGCAGAGGAAAGAGCCTCAAGATCCTTTTTGGAGCAGACGATGTGTCTGATTCACCTCCACGGCCTGTGGGAGACGCGTGATCCCTGTCAGGTCAGTTTCTGTTATTGTTTTTGTTTAAAACCCCCACAACTCTGAGGTGTTTGTACACACAAAACCCCCAAATCCCCTGAACATTACATTTATTTGGGGCTCAATCCATGGCACACGGGGAACGCGGGCAGCGACACGAATCAAAGTGCCCCTCCCGGGCGGGGGCACGGCCCGGGCCCGCGCGCGGGGTCGCCATGGCGAGCGGAGGCGGTGCGAGCCCGCCCGGCCCGTCCCCCGCCCCAGGCGGCGCGAGGAGGGCGGGCCGGGCCGGGCCGGGCGATCCGCGGCGGCGGCGGCGAGGGGCGGCCACTCCGGCGAGCGGCAGGACGGCAGCGCCCGCCTCCGCTCTCCGTCGCCCGCAGGCTCCATGGCAGGGGCCGTGCCCCTGCAGCTGCTGCTGCTGCTGCCGCTGCTGCCGCCGCCCGCCGTCGCCGTGCCGGCCGCGGGCGAGCCGTCGTGCCACGGAGCCTTCGATATGTACTTCGTGTTGGACAAGTAAGGGAGGAGAGAGAGAGACGGGAGGGAGGGATTGCCGCCATCGGGGACCGGGGGCCGGCGGCGGCGGCGCCGCTTTTGTTCGGGGGTCTGAGGGGCCGCGCGCGGGGCGGCCGTTGGGCGCTGAGGGGCCGCGCGCGGGGCGACCGTTGGGCGCTGAGGGGACTCTCCGAGAGGAGCTCGATGGGAAGTTCGCGAATCCCGCTGGACCTCGCTGCACGCCGGCGGGTCGCGGATTCGGACAGTGGCGTCGTACGTTCTCCCCGGAGGGGCGTTTGAGGCCGGACGTGTTGGAGAAGCAAAAGCCGTAGCATCCGCCGTAGCCGGCCGGGCTTTTGTGGGTAAGTTCGACGGCCGCGATCGCCCTCAGGGAGGGGCGGGGGGGGGGTTGTAGGGCCGGGGCCGCCTCACGACGGAGACCGCGACAAATCGCGACAAACTTACCGGCGCCTGCCGTCCCGAGCCGGGCTGGCCGTGACTCCAAGTGTTTGGAACAGCAAATATTGTAAGCTTCTCCCTGAAATGTCACCCGAGATCAGGCCGCTTATGTGTTGTGGTTTTCCCTTTTAGGTCTGGGAGCGTGGCAACGAACTGGCACGAGATATTTGATTTTGTGCGTCAGCTGACAGAAAGATTTGTGAGGTGCGTGGTGCTGCCTGTAACACCCGGGGTGATGCTGTGGTGATTCTGGGCTGTGTTAAACACCCCTCCTGTGCTTTTGCAAGCTTAGGGAGTGTTCACAAACACCATAAAGTTTGGCCTCTAAGACCCAAAGTGCTGGAAAATATTGGAAACTTTATTTTTGTGCTTGGAGCTCAGCAAAAAGGTGGTAATATGCATCTTTAAATATTTAACCTCTAAAATTACTCTTAAGATGTGATTTGATAGTTTTTTAAACTTCTTTTTCCACAAGCCACGTGCCTCATTTCTGATGGACTACTGTTCATATGCTGCATTTGGAGATCTTTATAAAGCAGCACGTCTCTATATGTGTAAATATATGGTGCAGATCAGAAGGAAGAGAACAGTGTTAAACCTCAAACCCAGAGGGAGCCCATGCCATGTAACAATGTATTTGTTGTACATACCTGTAACCAATTTTGTTACTGCCAGCAGCATTGTCTGGCGAGTTCTTCTCCCCTTGAAACGGCTGCTGTGAAACCTGGCTGACTGAGGATTGCTGGGATGCAGCATTTTGCTTTAAAAAAACCCTCATGACAAAACTCAGAATAAACCAAAGGAATCCTCCCATACACAGGCAGAGATACTGTGGTAGGTTTCGTTAAGGAAAACAGTGCAGTGTGCAGTTGTGATCTTGGCTTGCTAATAAAGGGATACAATTAGGCTTATAAAATTAAACACTGCTTATTTTTATCTTGTAAAAAGCAAATCTTCTTTAAACTTCTGTAAAACTTCTGTCGAGGGGGACAACAGAAACTTTCTAAAGTTGTTCTGTGAGCTCTAGAGTTAAAAAAAGAAGTGTAAAAATAGAGCCTGAGGAGATACTGAAGCGGCACTTCTTTGGGCTAAGTGGTAAAACATTTGCCCTACCTGAGAAGGGTGGTGCTGGTTCAGTGGAAGTCTTTCAGTTCAGCATCTTCTCCAGCCAAGTGACACTCCCTCTTGCAACAGTTGCATGGAGGTCTGGCTGCATCCTCATGCCAGTGTCACAAGTGCTCCCAGAGCAGAGCAGGGATGGGATGGCTCATGGAGAGGATTGTTCTGTGGTTGTCTAAAGAGAAGTTGGCTAAAACATAACTTGGAGGTTATTGCACACAGAGTTACATCTCAAACAGCAAAGTCTCACGGTAATCACTAGGCAATGATGCAACTACCAGAGATTGGGATTGCAAGCATTTTGCAACTAGAAAGATTGATTGGTTTCGATTCTGATTTAATTTAGAGCATCTCAGAATTTTGTATGTAGAGCCATTATGGATAGACTGCAAGGATGGATCCTAAATCCAAGGTCTGTGCAATTCTGTGCAGACTTACAATACTTACGTTCCCATGGTGTCAAATAATTTGAAGTTGCATCATTGATGTCAGTGAACTGAAAACATAGGGTTGTTCAGCTTTACAGGTGTTAGGTCCTTACGAACATGAACCTGATTAATTAATGCTGATACATATATACAGTGAATTATAAAGTTACTGAATGTATTGGAATTGTAATGAATAAAAATTAAAAGCAAGCAGGAGAAATGTTACAAATTACCTTAGTAAAGTTCCTGTCTTGGGCTTTCAGAGCATCAGGCAGTTCTTAAGCATTTTCCACTGCTAATCGCATGATTCTCTGTAACCTTGTTCAAAGAGACAGGTTAGCTTCTTAAAAAAAGATTGAATTCCTTGATAAAATCAATTCGTACAGTATTGCATTTTCCTGTGACATTTCCCTGGATACTTTTAGGGAAGTTGATCGCCAGTCTCACAACTCTGTCACCGAAACAAAACCAGACTTGCTCTGGAAGAGTTTACATGCTGCTTTTTTGGGGCTGAGGCAGTCATCAGGCACTGGTTCTGTGACTGGGGTGATTTGATGACCAAAGAGCACAGTTGGAAATTGATAGCGTGTCAGCCTGGAAAAAAAGGGGAAATGTGTCTGTGGTTAATACCCAGAGCAGGGGGAATTCTGCGTCTGTGTCCCTGGCTTTGTGTTACACCAGCGACAAGAACAATACCCAAGGAACATACGTTACCTTCTCTGTGGGGGGAGATCATATCTTGGGAATTCACTGGACTCTAGTTAAGTGAGAGAGAGTAGCAATTCTGCTACTTTGTTCTCAAAGCATCTGGGTAAGGAAAAGATGGGCAGAAATCTTTTAATTCCTCTCATTTTGTGTTTGTAGTTCAAAAGTATGTTTCTAGGAAGCTGGAGGGTAAAGATGACATGAATGAAGCCTGAACAAGTGAATGAAATGCTGTGCAGCTGTATGTTTCTCTGACATATATTTTTTTTCCCTCTTTCCCTTTTCTAAAGCCCCAAGATGAGATTATCGTTTATCGTGTTTTCCACCCAGGCACACGTCATCATGCCGCTCACTGGAGACAGGTCAGTGCACTGCTTTTAAATTCCCCCTCCATCCCCCCAAGGGTTCTTACTGAACCAGAGGAGCAGTAACAGATCAACAGCTGATACCTCTAAGTGGTGGCTAGTCGTGAAGCCTCTGTGCAGAGCTGATTTAATTTGGTGACCGTATCAGTGGATAGCCTTGTGAAAAAGGAAGGAGTGGAATGATGGGAAACAAATCCTTGATGTTAAATCTGCCACTGCTTTGCAGAACAACCACCAGTAGTGTTTTCATCTCTGCGTGATTCTGCATCTCCCTTGGCCCAGCAGGAGAATGATTCTTGCATTTACTGTTGTAAAGCCATGTCCATAGATAAGTTTTCAGGATTTTTTTCATCTCTAGGAAAAGCATAAAGTAAATAAATGTTTTCTCTAATCTCACATAAGGTAGGTATTCTGGTTTGTACTTCCTAAACCGGACTTCAGATTCTGGTTTAAACAGTGAAGTTGGTGCCACTTAAAGGGTGTGAGGTCTTCCTGTCACCGTGATGATGTACATATGTGCCTGAACTCTTCTTCCAGTTGATGGTTTCAAAGGCATTGGAATTCAAGGCTGCTCGCTCTGATTTCTAAAGCAAGTAAGGATTAGCAGCTAGGATAGCTCAAGGATGAGTGGGGGGAGACAGAAGGAGGAAACCAGGTAGAGAAGAGAAAGTTGCAAAAATAATTACTGGAATCACACAAATTGGGAAATGATCTTGTGGAATGAGCGCTTTCAGCAGCAGACAGTGGCATTGCTGTTGAGAGTCCTTCAGTGTTCTCTCAGCCTTGTCAAAACCAACATGACCTCCTCTCCCTTTCGTCCAGAACCTACTGCGGCGCACCACCTTCTGGATTTTGAAAATGTGGATGAAGCGTTTAGGAATAATTCCAATTAACTGTGGCTGGGTGGAAGTGAGACAGTCCTTCCTTTTTGCTTCCTTTAGTAGGTCAATGCAAAATGTGGTCTGCCATAATTGCTTAGTTTCTGCTATGGCGTTGTTTGATTGTTTTAAATAATGCATAAGGGCAAGCACAAGACTTCCTGAAAGACCTGTCATGGGCAACAGACAGGAGTCATGCTTACAGAAATGTAGCTGACATCCGAGATGCCTAAAAATCCAATTCTAAGCCCCTCCCATTTTAGCATTTGAAAAGTGGTCTGACTTGACAACAGCCGCTTCCAGATGGCTTGAGAAGGGTCAGAAGAGGACACTTGAGCCTGTTCTGAGGCCTGCTGAAGTCAATGAGGTCTTTTCTCTCCATTACAATAGGCCTGTCAGTGGCCTGTTCCTTATCAAGCACAAGAGCCAGCACTGATAGCACACAGACCACTTGGAATGCTGGGCAGGATGCTGGAGCCCTGCCACAGGAACACAAGTGCCTTTTTCATTGCCTGTCTGTGGCATGCTTGGAGCCATGGATAGAGCTGTGTTTTTCTCATAAGCCTCGTTTAAAGCACAGAAAGAACCTCTGGAGCTCTACGGGATTCCCTTGGGGGACTTGGCTTTAGTGCAAAGTTGGCTGATGCTTTTGTGAGTGTGG